GAACAAGAGGAAGCGCGGCACGAAGGTAGTCAGATAGAGGAGGAGGCGCAATAGTAAGAGAGGACGGAGGAGGCGACGGTAGTAGGGGAGGACGAGACGCGTGGGAACGGAGCAACATAGGGTGAGAGCGCGTGACAGGGGAGACAGGACGAGCGTGGGAGGGATGGCGAGACCAGACGTGAGACGGAGGCGTCGGGTCAAGAGATAGAGGAGGGGACACAAGGGGGGAACGAGGGGGAAGACGACCCGGGGACGAGTCCGGCGGAGGGAACACAGGGCCGTAGACAGGAAGAGGAGGAGACGGCAGGAGAGGAACAGACGCACGGTCAGGAGACGGATGGCCGAGCGGGCAAAGGGCTGACACCGGCGCGGACTGCGGCTGCGGCGGCACAACACCGACACCGGGACTACAAGCTGCTCCTCGGCTACCTCCGGAACACTCCACTCCGGCACCCCCAGGAGGAACACCCCCAGAGCCCGAAACCCCTCCAGCACCCGTACCACCCCCAGGCCCGCCGGGACAAGCCACGACAGGAGCTCCGGGACTAGTACCCACCCAAACGCCAGCATCCCCAGAGTCAACGAACTGCTCTGCGACGACGGCGGCGGCGGCGGCTGCAACGACGGCTGCGACGGCGGCTGCAGAGGCGGTGAAGGAGGAGACACCTGGGGAGGGGCAGATGGCGAGGACTGCGCCACAGGACCACCACAGTCAGAAGACTCCTTGACCGGGACAACCGACGTGAGGGGGGTGACGTGGGACACACCAGAGGGGGTAGGATGGGGAGGTGGAGGGGGGGGGGGGGGTAGGGACCACCGGGGAAGGAGTGACTAGGAACAGGGGGGGAGTAACCCGGGGACCACGGTGGGGGAAGCGGCGGTAGAAGGAGACGGACTTGTTAAAGGTGACGTCGCGAGAGTGAAAGAACCGGTGGGACGGCGGGTGGTAGAAGTGCCAGTCGGACGCGTCCAGGGGAAAACCGAGGAAGACACAGGGAAGGGTGCGGGCAGTGAGCTTATCCGTGCCGGAGGCACGAACGTGAGCAAGGCATCCCCAGACGTGAAACGCAGATGCGTCACCAGGAGACCCAGACCAAAGAAGGGTCGGCGAAACCTGCGGCTGCAGGGGGTGCAGCCACAGGCTAAGCTGGTGATCAGCGTAGCACACGGCGAATGGCCACAGAAAATGGGGTGCACCGGCATGAATCATGGAGGTGCGAGCCACCTCCATGACCAAACCGATGCGTCGCTCAGCGACCCCGTTCTGCTGCGGGGAGTCCGGCAGGGTAAACGTTTGGGTGATGCCCTCCGCACGACAGAACCGACCAAGGACACCCGAGGCAAACTCGCCACCATGGTCAGAGTGGAGACGCAAGACAGGGAGACCGCGGTGGACGTGCGCAGCAACAAGCCAGGGGATGAGAACGTCAGGCACGTCGGCCTTCCGCTCCAGGGGAAAGACTGTGGTGTAGCGTGTGAAGTCGTCGACAAGCACTAGGAAGTAGCGCTCTCGACGCGGCCCATGGACAGGGGCGGGGCCCCAGACGTCCATGTGTAGGGTCTGCAATGGTGCGGCGGTAGGGGGAAATGAGGAGGAGTAAGGAGCACGACGAAGCCGACCCTCGACACAGGGCGTGCACGGTGGGGCGGGGGAGGAGGGAAACTCGGGGAATGAACTGGGGAGACCGAGGACGAGACCGTGCTGGGACATGTGACGTAGACGCGAGAGAGCAGGGTGACCTAGGCGGTGGTGCCACAGGAGAGTTGGGTGAGTGAGGGACCGACAGGAGCAGGCAGCAGCAACCTGGGCAAACGCAGCCACCTGGGGGGGCGCCCCAGCCGGGGGGGTCATGGTGTCCAGTGTGAACAGGCCTGACACCGGGTCTCAGAGGAACGTGGTAAGGTGGGCACCAGTGGCGGCCTCGGTACAGACAGCATACCGCTCGTGACCAGGGAACGTAGTGGTGACGCCAAGGTCCTGGAGGCAGCCGACACCAACTAGGTTCCTGGAGAACGAGGAGATATGCAGACCTGTGAGAGAGCCCGAAGGAACCGCCGGACAGGGAAGGGTGATGGAACTGCGGGCGACTACCGGACCGCCGGAAGGGTCAGCAAGAGAAACTGCAGGAGGAACAAGAAGCGGGGTCAGCGTAGTGGAGTCGCGGAAGAAACATCGGGAAGCGCCAGAGTCCAAGGTGAAGGGAAGCGCAGCAGTGGCGTCTGGCGGCGGAGCAGCGGCGGAAGCATCGAGGCTAACCAAAGCAGGAGATCCTACGCTTGACGCAGCAGGGGAGTCTAAGCTAGGCACACCTACACTAGGCGACAAGGAGTAATAAGAGGGAAACACACTCGAGTCATCAGCATACATCACATGCAGGGCAGCAACAATGTCGTCCATTTCCATGTGAAAAATCTGAACTCTACGACTAAGCTAGCTGTGCCAGTCCGGGAGGTCGGGCGACGGGCCGAAGCGCTGACGAAACAGGTCATCCAGGTGACGAAAACAGTGGGCAGAGGTGTGACCAAGCCTACCGCAAACGAAGCCGCGGCGAGGACCGGTCTGAAGCTGGTACTGACAGCGCACGCCTCCCGAACCGCCACCCGACACACCACCACGTGCACGACCACCACCAGCGCCAGGCCACCCGGGCGGGAGACCACTCGCCCGCCTCGTCTGCTGCGGCTGTTGCAGCGGCGGACGCGTGTCCGGCTGCGACACCTGCAGCTGCTGAGGCGGCTGCTCGGCTGCACCTGGCAGGGTCCCCTTGTCCGCGCCACCACTAGGCGACCCGAATCCACCACCACCTCCACCTGGACCCCCACCCCCTCCGCCGCGCCCAGCCTTGGGGCGGCGACCCTTCCCCGGACGGAACTGCGCTGCAGCGGCGGTCTCAGCCACAGCAGCAGAACCATCGAAGAAGGTGCACTGAGCGGGGGCACAATCCTGAAAGATAGGGACCGGCACAGTAACGCTCGCCTGGGCGATAGAGCGGTGGCGGATAGCGGTCAGGGTGTCTACAAAGTCAGTGAGGGTGAGGTCACCGGGGTGTACACTAAGGAAGCGGTCATGGGCAGCGGCAAGGCGGTCTGGGAGGCGGGTGGCAAGCAGATAGAGGGCAGAGGTAAGGGGTGGCTGGTGGGCTCTAAGCTGTGCATCAGTGCAGGCAACACGCCAGGTCTCATCTATCATGCGCAGGTGGGCGACCAGGTCAGCGACCGTGGGGAACGACGCAAGGTCAGGGAAGAGGAGAGGGAGGATCAGGCGACCCACCGAGGCAGCAGGCGGGGTGGAATAGCGCTGGATAACATCATCTAAGAAAGCCTGGGCAGTGGTGATAGACCGAAAGCGAGGGCGCTCAGACAGAGGGAGGGCCTGGCTGATAGCTAACTGTGCGACAGCGTCACGCGAGAGCCAGACAGAGCGAGCAAGGGTAGCGGCCGCAACAGACTCACGCTCAGCAGACGTGGGGTCAGCGGGCAGCGCAGCAGGGGGGTCTGGGCAGGGGAGCGTACCGTCGAGGTGAACCGACAGCGAGTGGCCATCCTGCCGCTGGCCAGTGAGGTGGCGGCGGAGGTCGACTAGCCACGCCTCGAACTCCAGCGGCTGGCCTTCAGCGTTGAAGCGAAGCTCCCCCGCCATTAGGAACAATGCAGGGCGGCGCCGGGCGAGTCAGTGCAGTGCAGTGCGGCGCAGTGCGGTGCAGTACGACGCAGTGCGGTGCAGTGCGATACAGTGCGGTGCAGTGCGGTGCAGTGCGGTACAGTGCGGTGCAGTGCGGTGCAGTGCGGTACAGTGCGGGACAGTGCGGTACAGTGCGGTACGGTGCAGTGCAGTACGGTACAGTGCAATGCAATGTGGTTCTGAACCGTACCAGGGAAGGTGCAGGGCGGTGTCGGGCACGAAGAGAGGGCCGCACACAAGTTGGCGGCAGACCGGCGGCAAGGTGAGCACGGGGCCGGAGGGCGACGAGCAAGGCGCGCGCACGGCGGCTGAAACAGGCCGGCGAGGAACGGGCGCCTGGGGCCGGCGAAATCGGGGGCGAAGGCCGGCTGGAACAGGCGCGAGAGGGGGAGCCGGCAGGACGGGCGCAAGGGGCCGGCTAGGTTGGGCGCGGGGTCGGCGAGAACAGGCGCGAGAGCCGGCTAGAACGGGCGCGGGGTCGGCTAGTACGGGCACGGGGCCAGTTAGGAGGGGCGTGGGGTCGGCTAGGACGGGCGCGGGGCTGGCTAGGAGGGGGCGCGGGGCCGGCTAGGACGGGCACGGGGGCCGGTAGGACAGGCACAGGGCCGGCTAGGAGGGGCGCGTGGTCGGCGAGGACCAGCGCGGGGGCCGGCTAGGTCGAGCGCAAGGTCGCGGCTAGAACGGGCTCAGGGGCGCGGCTAGAACGGGCGCGAGGGCGCGGCTAGAACGGGCGCGAGGGCGCGGCTAGACCGGGCGCGAGGGCGCGGCTAGGACGGTTGCGAGGGCGCGGCTAGAGCGGGCGCGGGGTCAGCTAGGGACGGGCGCGGGGTCGACTAGGACGAGCGCGCGGGTGGCTAGGGAACGGCGCGCCTAGGGGGACGGGCGGCGGGACCTACCTACTTCTGATCCCATCTTAGAACTGAATAATGAGTTTAGACAGAGAGAATACAAGGTATATACCTAAGGGTTGTACTCTCTAAGAGATGACCCTATACAGTCTATACAAACATAACAGATATATATGTTTGACATCTTGTACAAGTGGGACTTAGTCTCTGAAAAGGTCCTAGGGCTATTTCTCAGCCCAATACTTTTAACATGTAAAATGTACAAAACTAGTATATGTATGCAAAACATGCTCCGCAACCCTAAGACGATTTCGTTGACCCTTGTTTTATCATCCCATAGAATCCTTATTATATGATAAAGGGCTTTCGTTTTTTATTCAATTACAAGTGCATGCGAATTTTTAACAGTATCACCTACAACCGCATACGCGCCTCTATTCGAGTGATTACAGCAGCGACTGGAACTTGCTTTCTTTACGGTACATTTATAAAGCGCATGGGCTTACACATTAAATTCGATTATAAACGCAGGTGATTTTGCAAGGGGTTCCATTACAAGCACATATGCGCTTATATCCGGGTGTATACGGTATCACACCCTTAACAGATTTAGACATGGTTTTCGTTGGAGAATCTCTCCCCAATCATCTTGAGTGACTCCTCAAACGCATCGACATCTCCAAATGTGTCCTTCATCTCCTGCACCTGCGCATCCACCTTAACCGCAGCACTCAGCTCATCCTTCCCCGCCACCTCCTCCCGGATGGCCTTCAGCTGGTTGGCAATGTGAGCCATGCTTGGGCGGCTTGCAGTGCGCTCCACGGTGCAGCTGATTGCCAGCTGAGTCAAGCGCAGCACAGCATCCCCAGGGGCCTCAACATTGGAGTCAGTGAGGCTCCCCAAGTCGCCCAAGGTCACGCACTCGGATGCCTGAGAGAAACGCACAAGAGGGGTGATGAGTCAAAGGCAACTAATGACATGAATACCTGATTCATTGGCTTCACTTGCAAACGTGCAACAAGGTGGTTGGCACTCACCCACGAAGTGATCTGCCTGGTTTCTCCAGCCGACTCAATAATTGGAGCCTCCCCCGTGAGGACCACAAGCATGAGCACACCGAAGCTGTAAAGCAAGGTGAATGGTGAGAGCATCAAGAAGGTGATGTTAAGAAGAACGTAGGAATCTAGATGGTTCCATGCTCATGCGCTGCTTGTGCGTTGCCAGAGATGAGTAGAGCCGGTTCCAGGTTAATCCTAGACTATCGCACGTCCAAGGGTCATCTAAATCACATGCCATGATCGTACGGGATTCTAAATTCACCTGTAGACATCGCTGGCAGAAGTTGCCAGCGATGTCCTGGAGTAAACGGGATCCAGATAGCCCGGTGTTCCCATGATCCGAGTAGAGCCCACTGTGGTGCCCTCTCCCGCCCTCACAAGCCCAAAGTCTGCAATCTTGGCCTGGTGGTGAGTGGTAGGGTGATAGCATCACTGAGCGAAGAGCAAAGGAAACAGTGACCGAGAAGAGAAACTTCCGACGAGTCGGGGAGAGAGAGACTAGAGTGCAAGTGTGGGGAGAGAGAGACTAGAGTGCAAGAGGAAAAAGCAAAAACAACTCAGGAAGAAGTCACACTGTTACCCGTGTGAGCTTTGTCCGAACGCACCCTTGATTCATGCATGTCCCTCGTGTTTCCATGCAGCTCTACGCTCTAGTTCTAACCTTGTTTTGAGACCATGATACGTGCTAAGGTGGAACCAAGCTTGCCTGCATGTCAGCAGTGATGAGGATGTTTGCCGGCTTGATGTCCCGATGCACAATGTTGAAGCTGTGGAGGTACTCAAAGCCACGTGCGATTCCAATGAGAATGTCCAGCCGCTGCTTGAAGCTTAGAGGGTTGGATGCATCTGCAAAAAAATAATAATGAAAAGGTAAAATTGACAACAGTGAACACATCAACTTAGAGACGACCACATAACTCCACCCATATCATAACTGATCCAACAAAAAAGAACTGAATCTATGGAATTACCTAGTAGTGACAGAATCAACTGCACACTACGTGCGCATAGGCCTAACCTTCCATGCTGTCAGCAGATGGCATAGAGGCCAAAGAAATTGTGCATTTGCACCGATTTTACACCACAAGATAGGATAGCCATACAGAAAATTCGACCCATTTTTCCCTAGAACTTGTCTGCTTGAAACAGATGGATTTGTGGAGAATGCTGTCTGTGTCAGTTTTCACACCAAACAGCACATAATGTGTCCGGGTTAACACCCCACCCTCATTGGCACGTCCAGCCCGCTCCATAATATATCCCCAAGTCAGCCAGTCGAGATACTGACAGATATGATTGGTTCCAGACTGACAAGCATTTCTGAATCCTGATGAGGAGTCTGATTGCTCCTTTTCACACACTCTTGCCTTGAACTTGCACGGGACTGGACGCCAACACACATCCATCGCACCGTCAGAACTCAGCCCAGCCTCGTGGAGTAGTGTCAAAAAGGTTCACATTTTGGCACTTTGAGCGCATGAGGGGTCAAGTCGTAAAGACCGAAACTCCCCCACAGAACCGCCTCCTCCCTTGCACTCCTGGTTTCCGGTACCTGAGTGATGTGGTACAGTGACTTGCACACTCACCGCGATCAATCCACTTGTGGAGATCACCGTTGGACACAAACTCGTAGATCAAGATCTGCTCGATTTTCGACCTCACGTCCCCTCCAACTGCAAACCCGAGCAGCCGCACAATGTTGGGATGGTTCTTGTCGGCCATTTGGAGGATCTGGAAGGGAAAGAGAGCACAGAGGAGTAGAGAAAGAAGTGGAGAAAGAGGAACAAAGGGACCCGAGAGAATGAAGAACGGGATAAGAAGCAAAGAACAAGGACCAACCAAAATATGGGAACGGAGAAAGAAGTCCCCACAAGCTTGAATTGTCGGATACACTTAACAAAAGAAAGCCTTGAAAACATTTCCCTTCACTTTTCTTATTTCTTCCTGCTTCACTAATTTCCTGCAGTCCAGCCACTCCCGAGTTGCAGCTCACTGACCTCCCTCTGGAAGTCCACGTCGATCAGCTTGGCTCGCTTCACGGCCCACACTGTGGTGCCATCGCGGGGAGACACGCCCTTGTAGACATCACCAAAGGCACCCGAGCCAAGCTGGTTGTCCTCTGACCAGTTGTTGGTGGCCTTGAGGACCTCAGCCAGAGAGAATTCCGTGCAGTGTGCAGCAGCCAGGCTGGTACCCAGGGCTGCTTGCGGGGCGAGGGATAAAGAAAGACACATGCAGAGAAAAGCTTGCCGCCTGCCTGCTGTTATGCTGAAATTAATTGCATGGAACCAACCACAAAATAGTGTCTACATTTAGAGCATAAACTCTTTGCAACTTCTCTTCGTTTCTCCATTCTCCTTACCTCTTTTATTCTGCTGCATCTTATGCACGAAGTAGAGCAGTGTGGCAATGAGTAGCAAGAGAATGACCCCAGCCGCAACGGCAATGCCAATGATGACTCCCACCGATACGCCTCCACCTTCAGATGACTCGCTGCTGCTGGGGCTGCTGCTGTTCGTGGCTGGTACAACGAGCATAGAACAATGGAATGGGCATAACAACAAGTTTATTCCCGTCACAAGTTGAAGAACGTGCAGCGGGACAGAGTGTCAAACCAGAAGTGAAGAGCACAACCTATTGCAGTCGGACGAGCCATCAAACTTGCACAGGGAAGGATCACGTGAGCGGTGCACCATTTTAAAGACACGGCACGACATGAGAATAAAGACTGGTCCTAATGCTGCAGATCCATGGTTGTAAAACACTGGTACCATGTTGCAGTGCACTTTGTTGGTTGTCTAAAGCCAGAGTTACAGCTCTGTTGGGAGCCACAGCCTTATGGCATGCCTTATGTTGTGCCTTGCCCAAGGAAGATTTCTCACCAACACTTATTTCCCCGGTGCAAGTAGGATTTTCTGCTTACCACAAGTGCTGCAGAAGGAAGGGCACGTCCGACAGAAGGCTGTCTTAGGCGACTGTGTTGGGCCACAGGCGGTGTAGTCCGGTGGGCACGTGAGGTTTGTGCCGCTGATGTTGCTGCAGGAGAAATGGGAGATGGAAAGGTGGAATACATAGGCACGGCAACATAGGTCATTCCATTCGTATAAATTATGCCTTTTTGTAGGGCATTTACTGTTCTCATTGATGTGTAACATCCCAACATGTTGGATTTTACTCAGAATTTTGTAAAATTTATGCCACTCTGTAGGTCATTTACTGTTCTCGTTGACATCTCAACATGTTGGACTTCCCATTGACTCGTTGCCGCAACGAAAAAAAAGGCTGTGTTCGCTCCACATCTGAACCGTGTCTGTATTCGCGTACTGTCTGAAATGTGTTGGAATCAGCATCCCAACCCAAATTTTGGTTAATGGTCACGAAAACGAACACAGGGCACGCGCCAAAATTCGATCTCGAGAAAACTAGCGAGCTTTCTTAGACTTTCGTCAACCTCGCAAAGCCACCTGCACACTGAACCAACCCGCCGCGCACTAATTTTGTGTGAAAATCTACTGTACTATATGCCCAGGATATTTTATATTTCCCAAGTTGCTCCCAAATTCCCTCGTCAATTGAGCCAAAATCATGCCAGAAGGCAAAATCTCGAATATCCGAAGCGGAGTCGCGATTGTGAGTAGACATGGGCAAAATGCGATTGCGATTTAAATCGCATCGCATTGGGGGGCGATTTAATTAAATACGATGCGATTTTAAATCGCATCGCGCGATTTAATTTCTGGAAAAAAAAAAACTGCACATCGCGTTTTGCGCGCGATGAATATTAAAACCGCATGCGGTATTTAATTAAATCGCGCGATGCGATTTTAAATCGCATCGCGTTTTAAAACAGAATAATAAAAAAAAACCCCGAAAGAAAAAACCATGGCTGCCGGGAAATTGAATCACGGGCAGTCGTAAGCTAGAGTGCAAATAACTAGTGTGGTTTCGAAGTGGGTTTCAGAGTGGGTTTCAGTGCGACATCGCGCGCAGTTTAAAAAAAAATCGCACATCGCATTTAAATCGCGTTTTTAGCGCGATTTAAATGCGATTTAAATTAAATCGCGCGATAAACAATTCATCGCATCGCGCGATGATTAAAAAAAAAAATCGCAATCGCAAAAACGCGATGCGATGCGATTTTTTTTGCCCATGTCTAATTGTGAGTGTGCGCGAAATTTCGCAGAGAAAAAACTGTCACGCGAAAATTCGCTCTTGTGAAAGTTCGCCTCGCGAGCATGTGGTCTTCGTGAAATTTGTTTCGGGGACAACAAACTGTACATTGAAACCAGCAGTGAGCCGAACCTTATCGCATGGAATTTTGAATGAACCGTGTGAGCCAACCACAGGTCGCCAAATTGCCCAGTCAACATAACCCATCTTTCGTGGCGTTCAGAAGCACCTCACAGATATTCGCCACAACCAACCACAGTTCAGCATCCAAGCAAACCAACCGTCTCACCTTTCCAGTCCACCCCTTTGCAGCAGCCATCCCATATCAGCCCACACTTCTTCATTTGTTCCCAACGTGCGGACTCCCCCATTTTCCCCGCTAGATGTCCAGTAACTATGCATGGCATGGCTTCACAATCTAGGAAGGCTATGGCGCCACAATTTAGTGTGTCTCGTCACGAGTTCTTTCGTTCGCATTTTGCAGTCCTTCTATTCAGACTGCTGCCAATTGGAAATCCGTAACCGAGCAATGACTGCGTCGCTTACATCGCCTCCCATGTGTTTTAAACAAATGTATGCACGATTTTGCCGCCTTTCAATGGGGCATTGGCGCGAGACGTAGTGTTGACCAGTAGGTTCACTGCATCCACGAGGAAGATGTGTGTGGCTTGCAGTTTTCGTCGCTTTGTAATTTTACCATTCGTAGCCTTCCACCCTTCCACCCTATTGACTAATGCATTCTTGCCTGGTTTTTTTTTTTCCTCGTTAGTATGATTGTACGGTTGCAGCAGTTGTCAAGGACCGCAGCATCCATCATTGTATTCCCTCTTATTCCCCTGCCACCAGCACTTGCCTTGCGTATGGTGGATGACGCATATAGCAACGACATGCTGTGTGGCATTGACCAAGGCGTTCCCTTAACTGCTGCCCAAGATCTCCGCCCCTTTAGAGTCTAATCCCAGGTGCAAAATTTCGGTTGCGGTAAAATACAGTCCGAAAAAAAAGGCTGTTTTTTTCCGATAATTTTGGGGGAAAAAACACAGTTTTCTTTTATGGGCTCAAGTCTGATTTTTTTTTTTTTTCCTTCCCTGCCAAAAAACAACACAACAACATCCAGGGGGGCTAGGCATCTTCCCTACACGCGAAAACACACAACATTGAGGTAGGATAGGAAATCCTCCTCATCCTCCTCCTCCCACTCCTCCTACTGATCTTCCTTCTACCAATCCTCCGCATCTCCGGCCGACCGCACTCTGCAGGGGTAAAGAAGTGGCTGGGTGCTGCCATTTTTTAACTAGCTAGTGAGCTTACCTAGTATTTCTGGTTCTGTTTTTGTACTTGGGCTATCCTCTGTTAAATCCAGAAAGCCCTTGATGGAGGGAGTGGGGTGTGGGGCGTAGGGCATGGGGCGTGGGCCGTTTGTGGCTGGGTCGAATTGGGTTGGAATCCCTAATGACGGGATTTTTACTTGTTGGTTTAGTTGGCGTGCCGCGAACTACAAATTTTCACCACGCTTTCCTTGCCGTTGCGAAATTCAGAACCGTGCGCGACGAAACGGTTCTAGATTTCGCAACAGCCGCGGCAGAAAATGTTGGTCGCGCGGTTCGAGATTCGGCAAAATGCATGCTCCGGAAAAATCCCGGACCGCGCATTTAGCCGAGGATGGGTCGCAAAGTTCGATAAGCATATCGATCTTTGTTTGTGTACACCTACGTGAAAATACGGTGAAAATGTACGACCGTTTTTTGCACCAACATATCAACCATACTTGGAACTGCTTTTAAACATTTGAAGTGGTCGAAACATTCGGTACCGTACAGCACGGGATTAGACATGAGCACGAGGCGAGGCGAGGATTCCTTGCCGAGGAATTCCAACCATCGCCCCCCAAACGAGGCGAGGTGAGGATTCCTCGCCGAGGAATTTTGGGGAAAAAAAACCCTCGTCCCTCGGGTTTAGGGGGCGAGGATTTTTTTCCTCGCCCCCAGGGAAATTCCTCGCCCCGAGGCGAGGAATCCTCGCCTCGTTTTGGCAACTTTGTTGGGAATTGGGCAGAAATGTACAAAACACCTAGAGGAACGACTGTTTTTGTACACCTTAGCTACCAAAGTCGCCCCCACCCCCGGGCAGCACTAATGTTGACGCTGCTGCGATGCCGTGGGCGCGGATCCCCCGTCATCCCCCTCTCCCTCTCCCTTTCTACCACCCCTCCCTTCCCCTCCGCCGCGGGCACCAGCACCGCGGCCCCTCTTCTTCCCCCTCCCTCCACCACGTGTTGAGCGGCCCATTCCTCCCGGCCCGGAGCTTGCTGGCTTTTAACAGGCGTGCTTGGAGTGGCTCTAATGGTCGCCCTACAGACCTATTTGCCTCCCAATGCACCTCGTCTCGTTGCTCGCCTCGTTGCTCATGTCTACACGGGATTGTTAAAAAAAATCGGCGTTTTGCACCTTGGCCTAATGTCACGTACTTCTGTTTTGCACGCAGGTGATGTTGTTTGAAGCCCTTGGCATTGGCATAATATGGCTGACAAATGAGCTCTTTGTGCTTCTGCACTAGTAGTTAGCCGCTTTGTTGTAATTGTATTTTTCGTACGCCTTGGTTTGTAATAACATTGCTTATAAGTAAGAGTTTCATGAACATTTTGCGTGTATTGAATGGTGTAGCGAATGAACGGGCAATGTAGAAATGTTATTCAGGCAAGAGTCATTTCGGACACATTTCGGATCCAGAAAAAGTGTTCAATTTGTGTTCGTTCTGTGTGACACACCAAGACCCAACAGAGACACTGCAGGGTGCTTTGAAAAGTGACCGGTTTGTGTTAGTCTAGACACTTTTCAGACACATTTTGCACACAATATTTTTGCGATGTGCTCCTACCCGTAGCCATACCTACCTACCATCTTCAACATCTCCCAGCACACTTTGCCACAAAGATTTGGTCAGTTTGAAGAGCCTCAGATGCTGTTTCCGATTTGTAGCAAACATGCTTTTTGAGTCGACTCAAAAATCACCTACGATTTGTAGCAAACATGCTCTGCACCCACCATGCATAGCTCCATGCCATGGGCGGTGCGGACCATGTGGTGGATGGCTAGTGCTTCACGTACAGTGAATCGAGGGAACTGAAACTCCCAAGAAACGTTGGCAACGTTCCGTTGAGGCTCGTGTCATTGATTCTCCTGCAGCCAAAAGGATTTTGTAGATAGGTGTATGGGGCCGTGAGACTGTTGTGCGCCTCTCAGGGATGCTTGTCCGTTAGGGTTACGTTTAGAATGCTGACTGCTTGACAGAATTGCAACAACCAAAGATGTACGACACATCACCATGACGTATAACCTGTTACTTTCATACAAGGAGGTAAGCTGAGACATGACCTCAAGAGAGTATGGAAGGATCCCGCTCAGCGAATTGTTGTCGAGCCACCTGGAATACAATTGAGGGAAATGGATGCATTTTCCTTGCGTGCTGTTGGCGTCTTGTAGACTGACCACATGGCAAGGCATCTTTAGATTGTTCAAGCTGAATATCAGCACCTCTCAAAAACTGTGGCAACATTAGCAAAAACCGTGGCAAGGGTAGCAGTAGCACTGTTTGCTCCACAACCTGCTGCTTATCCATGGCACACAGCAGCGGCTGTAGAATGAGCAAACTGGAAACTCACAGACGTTGAAGCTGTTCGCAGGAATGAATAGAGGGGGGGATGAGGCCGCTCAGCTGATTCCCACTCAACACCCTGATGGACAGGAGAAGAACAACGACCATATGTAGCGAGAGAAAGAGTATAACCAGTAGGAGGAAGCACAGCGTGCAATAAGGACAATATACAACATTACAATCTTGACATCGTGGCAAAGCTGACAACGCCCAGTCGAATATGAGGAGCCTGCACTCAAGGGCCAAAAGGCAACCAGTTCCAGCATCTTCTCGGAGCATTTGCTATGACATATGGCCATTTCGACGTGCACATAATGTACACCAGCGATTATACATTAATTACATGCTCGTACGTGCGGCAGATTGAATGATACACTGATGAGCATGTTGTTCCTGACAAGACTTAGCTTGCAATAGTACTCAAACCTGATAACCGTTCGTCCTTACTTGTGGACACTACAAAGGAATGCATGCATGCATGCGTGTGTGCGTGTGTGTGTGTATGCATGTATGCCAGGTGCTCTCAGTCTCCAAGTTATGACTGCTGTTTCACTTGTAACAATGCACTTGCATGACGTCCTTTGAGATCGTGCTTGTGGAATAACAAAATACAGACATGTACGTACAGTTCAGTCAGATTCATTGGGTTGATGAAGCCCGGAATGCTCCCAGTGAGCTGGTTATCATTCATGTACCTGCTCATTTAAACATAGGTGCAAAGCGAAGAACGGTTATATGTGTCCTAAAACTCGTGTCATAATCACACTCAAGGGTTTGGGAAACAAAACCTGTGCATCCACGTTTCTAACTGTCCTTCCACAGTTGGGTTGGGTGGTTTGGACCAACATATTTCGCAATGAAGATGCTGATACAGAAATGTGTGGCAAAAGAATCAGTCAACATCTGCAAACTTAAGGATGACTCAAGCAAGGTTCCTGCTATTGTGAACAGAACTGCAGGCACTGCAATGGAAGTAGTGGCAGTACTGCTGCCAATGTCTATACTCACAGAAACTTCAAGCTGCCCATGCTGCCAAGAGTAGTTGGAATGGACCCTTTCAAGTGGTTTCCACTCATATTTCTGACAGTTCGTAAAGAGTAATGGTGTAACCCATGGGTAAAGCAAGGATGGAAAACCAGGGGTAAAGAAACCAAGGAAGAGAAATAAAAGGGATAGATTGAAGGAGGATCATTGATATAAAACATTAATTCACAAATTCAACACACACCGGACCAAGAAAGGGAAAAGCCATCAAGCGTAATCGTCAGTTGGCTCTAACACCCTAGCAACTGTTGACATGATACTTACAGATTCATCAACACGACCATCGAGTCAAGAGAGTCTGGAATGGATCCATCCAAGAGATTCCCGCCTATATTTCTGTTCGCCCGAGAAGAATAGTCCGTGCAAAGAAGAGGGAGAAAGGGGAGGGAAGGAGGGCAGGGTATTCTCAGAGCCAGGCAGAAAGTTCCATAGAGTAAATGGATCGAGAACCATGTCTTCAGAGGGTGAAACCGAATTTCCACAAAAACCCAAAATTTCCAGAACTTGTGTTGGAAAATCGGTTTTTACATCGCTTCAGATCCTATGTAAGCCATGTCAACTAGACATGGTTAAAATGCGATGCGATATCGCGTCGCATTTTGTCATATCGCGTGTGATATCACAGCGATGCGATATCGCAACGCTGCGATATTCTGTTTCAAAAAATAAAATCGCATATCGCTTTTTAGGGTGCGATGTTACAAAATATCGCACCCATGAATGCGATATATCGCGCGATGCGATTTAATATCGCATCGCATTTAGGGGTCGGAGGAGAAAAGCAGAACGACAAGGCCGGCTTTCCTAGGTGCGCGAGGAATGAGGTGAGTGAAGTTTAACGGGAGAATGGGATATCGTAGCCCCTCTCTGATGTAAAGCGTGTTAGAGGGGCAGGGGTTGGATTCCGTAGATGTGGAGGAATGTAGTGCGGTCGAAGTGGTGGAAATTGGTTGGACTTCCAACCAATTGACTTAGTGGGGGGTCGAGATTTCAATCAACCCCCTAAATCCCTTCAACCGCACACCACCACATTCCATCCACCACCGCCCATGTCAAAATTTGAACCTCCAACCAATTCCCTTCCCTCAACCGCACTGCACTCCTTTTCAACTAGAATTTCCAACCCTTCCTCTCCAAGCTCCTCACAAACACCTCCCCGTCAATTACGCCAACCCCAAACAGCCGCGCGCAATTTCTGCACGCCATTACAACCTAGGCTTGAGCATACTACCCGCCCGGGTCGGGTACCCGGTACCCGGATCCGCTTTTAGGGCAGGTCAGGTATCGGGAATCCTGAAAATTACCCGGCAGGTCGGGTCCGGGTTACCCGGGCGGGTATTCAATACCCGCTACCCGAAATGATACCTGACACGTCGGGTAGTGGGTACCCGACCCGAAATCGGGTAGCGCGTCTACCCGACGGAACCAGCGCGACATTGATCGCGATGGTAGAGAAATTTCAGCAAGTTTTTAGGTTATGTAGCTGCTAGGTCACGTAAAGCATTGTAGAGTGGCAGGGGTTGGATTTCGTAGATCCAGATGTATTCAGAGCGGTTGAATTGGGGGAAATTGGTTGGAATTCCAACCAATCGAATTTGCAACCCAACCTGAATCCAACCAACCGCACAGCACCACATTGGTTGGACTTCCAACCAGTTGACTCTGGGGGTCAAAGAATCAAACCCCCTAAAACCGCACACAACCCCATCCCAACTAGAAAACCCAACCAAATCCCCACTCAGGCCCCACTCACGCCCCACTCACCACACCAGAGCTGTTAAAGATTTGGCGCACCTCATACTCCCTCCCGCAACTGACGTTTTTTAAGCACTATCTAGGTCATAGGTTTAGTAGCCCAACAGGGTAGGAAAACGCGGGTACTACTACCCGCTTTTCAAGGAAACCGGGTCGGGTATACCCAAGGTACAAAATACGGCCGTTTTTTTCCTTTTGAGACCGTATGGTACGGTACCGAATTAAACGAACGTATAATACGAATTAAAACGGTTTGGAAAAAAAAAATTATTGGTGAAAAAAATTCGGCCGTTTTTTTTTCAAAAAAATGAAAAATACAAGCGAAATGTCCGGATCTGGCATTTCGCCCGCTGATATGCGCGGATCTGACATTTCGCCTGCCAAAATGTGCGGATCTGGCATTTCTCCCACCAAAATGTGTGGATCTCGCGTTTTGGCGGACGAAATGCGCAGATCTGGTGGACGTTTAGAACTTCATAACAAAATACACCCGAAACGCTCTATTAAAAATTCGGCGTTTTTTTCCTAAAATCACCGAAAAAAACGATCGAAAAAAACCATGGAAAAAAACGCCCTGCCGAAATTTTGCACCTTGAGTATACCCGGACCCGCCAGGCGGGTATTAATTTACCCGCCCCCAAATCCCGGTTCCGGGTATTGGTCCAGGGCATGTTACCCGACCCGTACCCGACCCGTAACTACCCGACCCGAAGTCGGGTATAGCAAAACCGGGTCGGGTCGGGTAAATACCCGGTTTTGCTCAAGCCTATTACAACCAGAGAACCCTAATTTTTGCTAAGTTCAGGGCCCGCGCCCATGTTCCCCCCCCCTTTCTAGCACGATTCCGCAACGCGATATGCGGATGTATGGCGCGCGATATTTTAATATCGCATATTGCATTATATCGCGCTGAAAAATCCGCGATAACTGCACGATATCGCAAAAATCGCGCGACATTATCGCATCACATCGCTGCGATTTTTTACTTCAAAAAATATCAATCGCAATTCCAAAATGCGATAAAATGCGATGCGATATACCCATGTCTAATGTCAACCTAACTTGCGCGTTATTTTCTGCGTCAAACGCAACAAACTTTAGCGTATGTGCCGGTTGGTCGAAAGCAAATGCGATAAAAACAAGACAACACCACAGTTTTGGCTGTTAACAGAATCCGAAAAGACTACGAGGTATGGCGTGTGTCCAAATACGCGTGTGAAAGGAAAGGTGCTGGAGTCTGTATAAAGAAAGGTTAAAGAGTTTAATGCCGAGAAGGGGGCATGGTGCGTAAATAAGGGAATGCCGAAATTCTGGTCCAAGTGGCGAGCAAAAAAAAAAAAAAAAAAAAAAAAAAAAAAAAACAATAGCAAAAATTATGCGCAGGTTCTGACGCGGAATCATGCAACATGACACTATCTAGGTAGCCCAGAGAATGTCATAAGCTGACCACTGTAACATAAGCTAAAAACAAGACAGTTGTTAAAATGTTTAAAAAAATACGAAAACGTTCGTGAACGTAAAAATTCATAAGCGTACATTCAACTAGGGTTCCACAGAATGTGACAACAAGTTAGGGAAATCAAGGGAAATTTGTTGGAAGCGTGTACTTGGAATGGGAGGAAGGTGCATGCAAGCATGCGGAACACGTGGCTGCCACAAGGTGTGCATGCTGTTTAACCTGTCAGGGATCATCCAACAATGCTCTGGAACTGGATCGATGAGAGTGTTAGAGATGGTGTCACAAGCAATAGCGATGTAACACTGGCATAGAGTGACCGCGAGATTTGAATGAGCTTCGTACAGAAAAACGAGTTGAGTGAGCGAGGTGATGCTGCTGGGAATGGAGCCAGTGATACTGTTGGACGAGAGATCCCTGTGTGGCGTGGGTCGGAAGAAGAGAGACACAAGCAAGTGAACATGTTGTTCATAGGCTTGCTTTGCTAGTTCTGTTGGCCTCAGATCTTTGATCGGCCAACCGGAGAATTGTTTCAGATTAGGTTCATCATATGCCGCTTGCTCCTAAACTGAACACATACTAGGACGGGTAAGGGCTTCACCACCATCACCATAATACTTCGCATCTCGACATTTTTATGTACATCGTCATGAGCAGGACCGCTTGAGAGAGGGAGAGAGTGGGAGCCCTCCTAGCTAAATATCGTGACTGCTGGCGTTACTCAGGAGCACTCAGGAGGGCTCCTAAAGGCCCCTGCTCTAGACATGGGTGCATCGCATCGCATTTTGCGATTGCGATTTTTTTTTTTTTTTAAAGTAAAAAATCGCAGCCATGCGATGCGATAATATCGCGCGATCTTTGCGATATTGCGCAGTTATCGCGGATTTTTCAGCGCGATATAATGCGATATGCGATATTAAAATATCGCGCGCCATACATCCGCATATCGCGTTGCTTAATTGTGCCAGAAAGGGGGGGGAACATGGGCGCGGGCCCTGAACTTAGAAAAAAATAGGGTTCTCTGGTTGTAATGGCGTGCAGAAATTGCGCGCGGCTGTTTGGGGTTGGTGTAATTGACGGGGAGGTGTTTGTGAGGAGCTTGGAGAGGAAGGGTTGGAAATTCTGGTTGAAAAGGAGTGCAGTGCGGTTGAGGGAAGGGAATTGGTTGGAGGTTCAAATTTTGACATGGGCGGTGGTGGATGGAATGTGGTGGTGTGCGGTTGAAGGGATTTAGGGGGTTGATTGAAATCTCGACCCCCCACTAAGTCAATTGGTTGGAAGTCCAACCAATTTCCACCACTTCGACCGCACTACATTCCTCCACATCTACGGAATCCAACCCCTGCCCCTCTAACACGCTTTACATCAGAGAGGGGCTACGATATCCCATTCTCCCGTTAAACTTCACTCACCTAATTCCTTGCGCACCTAGGAAAGCCGGCCTTGTCGTTCTTCTTTTCTCCTCCGACCCCTAAATGCGATGCGATATTAAATCGCATCGCGCGATATATCGCATTCATGGGTGCGATGTTTTGTAACATCGCACCCTAAAAAGCGATATGCGATTTCAATTTTCTAAACAGAATATCGCAGCGATGCGATATCGCATCGCTGAGATATCAGGCGTGATATGACAAAATGCGATGCGATATCGCATCGCATCGCATTTTAACCATGTCTACCCTGCTCATGTCTACTCAGCCGTGACTAGCAGATCCCCCCAGTCACGACGGCTCTTGAGGGCTAGGATAGGAAAGAGAGAGAGAGTAGGAGCCGTGAGGGTAGCAGGTCCTAGGCCCCTGTGGGCTAGGCTTGAGAGAGAGAGAGAGAGAGAGAGAGAGAGAGAGAGAGAGAGAGAGAGAGAGAGAGAGAGAGAGAGAGAGAGAGAGAGAGAGAGAGAGCATGGGTTCCCAAGCTATATAAGGCCCTCTCCCTCTCATTCTCCGCTGTTTTTAGTTCAGTTCTCATTTCTCCTTCCTTGCCAGCGAGAGAGAGGAGAGAGAGAGCGAGAGAGAGAGAGCATGGGTTCCCAAGCTATATAAGGCCCTCTCCCTCTCATTCTCCGCTGTTTTTAGTTCAGTTCTCATTTCTCCTTCCTTGCCAGCGAGAGAGAGGAGAGAGAGAGAGCGAGAGAGAGAGAGCATGGGTTCCCAAGCTAAATAAGGCCCTCTCCCTCTCATTCTCCGCTGTTTTTAGTTCAGTTCTCATTTCTCCTTCCTTGCCAGCGAGAGAGAGGAGAGAGAGAGAGCGAGAGAGAGAGAGCATGGGTTCCCAAGCTAAATAAGGCCCTCTCCCTCTCATTCTCCGCTGTTTTTAGTTCAGTTCTCATTTCTCCTTCCTTGCCAGCGGCTCGCGTCGGCGGCCTCCGGCCGCGCGTTCGGGGACGGCAAGAACACCAGGAAACGACTACTCCGTTTTCAATACAAGCACCAAGCCCCAAGGGCACAACAAATCCCTACAGCGCCCGCTCCAATGCCACCAGCATGGAGGGACTCCTACTACTGACGGGACGCTCGCCAACCTCCCAGACGGCCGCTGACGCGGGCCGGCCGCGAACGTACGCGAGACGCCACCCCGTCACTCGAACCCCGCAGCCTCTTCCAGCTGCGCCGACAGTAGGCCCACCAGCACCCGCAGCGTGGACGCGCAGCTGCCTGCGAGATCTACGGCTGACGCCAACGCGATGCTCTCCGACATCGCTCTCATTGCGGCGGCCACGGCCGGGTCCAAGCCATTTCCCGGGCCGGGCACGGGCAGCGCTTGCCCCATCACCACCACGAGGTCCGCAAGCGCGTCCGAACTCGTCCGCAAGTGTGAGTGCTGCATCTTTCGGGAGCTCTCTGACCCCAGCAGCGCGGAGTGCGTCGCCTCCACGACCACCGCCAGCAGTCCAAACGCCCTCCTCGTCTGGCACATCCGACGGAACGTGGCTGCTGGAACCGCTACCACCTGCTCCGTCTGCCGCCTGCCCGGCAGACCGTCCTCCTGCGCCCCCGGTTGGCTCCGCGTACCCACTGGGCGCCGGGTCCGGGACTGGGCACGGAACCCGGGGGAGATCTCCTCCGACGACTCCATCCCCCCCGTCTCCGCTGCTTCTGCCCCCTCCTCAACTCCATTTGGGGACACCGCCAGTCGACGGGGTGGCACGAAGGGCCCATACACCCCCACACCCGACGCACGGGCGGGAAGCCCAGGAGCCCAGTGATCGGGGACGAAGGACTGCGGAGGTGTTTGCCACTCGGGGAGCGCTCCACTGGAGGCCGCCGGTGTGTCCAGTGTGGGAGGCGCCATGGGAAGACGAGCCCCGCGGTACACGGGCGGCGGAGGTCTCAGGAGCGCCGACGCCGGCTGGAAACACACGGGCGCACTCGCCGGAAACAGCGACGGCGGATGCGGAGGGGCGAGGCGGGAACGGATGACACGGACGCGGATGCAACGCACCGGGCGCGGTCTGAGCAGCCCCTCCCACCGGCGCGGTCGAAGCAAGCGCCTGAACGCCACTTAGAATGCCTTCAAGGGCCCGCGCGCTGGTCGCCAGCTGGCGCTCAAGAGCCGCCGTCCGTGCGGCAAGGCCGGCGCGACGGCCGCGACGCGGTCCAGCACGGCCGCCGCCCCCAGGAGTCCCCCAGGGCTGCGCAGCAGGCGGACCAAGACGGCCCGGAGATCGGCGGGGAGCCGGCTGCGGGGGGGGAGAGTGACGCGACGGCAGCTGCAAGGACGGCAGCGGCTCGGTCCGCCGCTGAGGCAGAGCGTGGGATGGTGGCGACGGCGACGAATGACGCGACGGCTGACGCGGGGACGCCGGACGCGACGGCGGACGCGGGGAGGCAGGACGCGACGGACGCTGTGGGGACGAATAGCACGAACGCAGACAGGGGGAAGGCGGCCGAGACGGCGGGCGCGGTGACGGCGGCCGAGACAGCGGGTGGCGAGGCGACGACCCCGCTGGGCCACCGCTACGCTCTGCGCGCTCGGGCCCCAGGGTCCCTCCCTGCTCGCCGCGCAGAGCAGGCGCCGCCGAACCACTCCCAGCACGGGAACACACGGGGTCTGGCGACTGCCGCTGGCTTCGGAGAGCGGGGATCCCCCGCTCCCACAACGGCGCGGAGTAGGCGGCCAAGCTCGCCAGATCTGGGGGGCGCCCGCTATCAGCCGAGCTCGACAGATCGGCGGGTCGCCCCTGACGGCCACGAAACCCCCCTTCGCTTCCCATCGAGCACTCACCGCCGCACCCCACCGACGGCAGGGACGCGCCTCGGGCCGCGACAAACGCCGCGAGGAGACCCGGGACGGGGTGGAGGTCAACGGAGAGAGCGCAGCAGGGCAGACGAGCTCATGGCAGGGGGAGGGCCAGTGAACGACTTCCAGAGGGCTGCAGGACGGGCTTTAAGGGCGAGACGGAGGGAACAAGCAACCGACTAGGAGGAGAGGAGGGACCCGACTTATAGAGAGGAATCACAGTACGAGTCAAGCACTGAGGGATCCGAAGGGGACGCTCGAGACAGAGCATTTCGGGGACAAGCGTCGCGACGCACTCGGCACGCCCCAGCTCCCGCGGCTGAAAACAGGCCGAACGCACGGAACGAGCGGGACCGCACAGAACAGCCCAGCCAACCCCAGCGACAAATTTCGCCAGCAGAGCTAGCCGCCAACGAACAGCTTTTCGCGGGGGTAGCCAGCTGGGATATCGGGCTCCTCTGCGACAGTCGCCAACCCCCCCTTTCCCGCAAGATCCCCCCCAAACTTCGCCAGCTTTTCGCCCTCGTCCTGCTGACACCCCTCCTCCACCTCGCAGCCCAACCTACCAGCCTGCCAGGCTGGCGCTTGTTACTTTTCGCACCTCGACTGACACTTCGCCTCAACTCGCCAAAGCACCCTGACTGGCCCACCGTGGAAAAAAGGCTCCAGCAGTTCCTGGCAGGCGATTGGCACGAGCTTTACCTGGCAGCAGTGGACGCCATCCACGACCCACCGGCGCCACGTCACACAGGGGACACCCTCGGCAAAATATCTCGAGCCGAGGGGCTGGTCCGCCGAGGCAGCCTGAGGCGCGCCCTGCTGGCCCTCGACTCGACCCCGGTCAGCGAGTCAACCCAGGAAGTCTCGAGGCGTTGAAAACCAAGCATCCACCGCCGCTGACTGAGTCACTCGCTTGGCCCCACATCGACGAGTCGGAGGTCCCCCCCTCCCTCACGCTCGCAGAGTTCACCAGGTTACTGAGCCGCAGCGAAAACGGGGTTGGCGCGGGCCCCTCGGGAATGTGCTTCGAACACATTCGCGATGCAGCCCTCGCCAACAGCGCCGTCGCTAGCAAGCTCCACATCCTCGTAACTCAATTACTGCGGGGCGACTCCACTCCTGACGTAGCCGCACTCCTCACAGCCAGCCGCCTACTCGCTTTCCCTAAACCCGACGGAGGCACGCGCCCCATCGCCGTGGGGCGAGTGCCTCCACCGCCTTGCCGCCAAAGCAGGACTCATCTCGATGGCGGATCGGGCGCGCAATCACTTTCTCCCACTGCAGTTCGGCGTCGCGGTAAAGGCTGGCGGAGAGGCAATAATCCACGGGGCCCGCGCGTTCGCCACCGAGCGACCATCCTCGCACCTACTGCAGATCGACCTCACCAACGCTTTTAACAGCGTTGATCGCAGCACCATCGTCTCGGGCCTCTATAACTCCCCCCTCCGCCCTCTCCTACCCTTCGTCCAACTCTCGTACGGCGCCCCCTCCCAGCTGTACCTCGACGCCGGCTTCAACAGCCCGCCCCTGCTCAGCGCTCGAGGCGTCCGGCAAGGGGACCCTATGGGTCCGCTGCTCTTGCCGCCGCCATGCACCCCGCCCTGCAAGCGACCGCCGCAGCGTACCCCAGCGTCCTGTGCCTAGCGTACGCTGACGACATCACGCTGCTAGGCGAGCCGGCAGTGTGCACAGCGGCGTTCACCGCACCTCACCGACGCTCTGACCCCCCTGGGCCTCACGCACAACCCATCTAAGTGCGCGGCCTGGTCCCAATCCCAACCTCCTCCTCCCTCCTACCCCCGGCATCCCGTTCCGCGACTCTGGACTGCGGGTCCTGGGCAGCCACATCGGCCCCCACGAGGCTGCGGCTCAGTTCCTGCGCGAGCAGCTGGCTGACATGGCCAGGCAGCTCCCCGCCCTCGCCGCCATGGACCCCCAGTCCGCCTCCCTCCTCCTCCACCGCTGCGTCTCGCGGCGGGTATCTTACCTCACCCGCACAACCCCACTGAACCTGCTCCCACAGGGGGAATGGTCCATTTGGGGGCGGGAGCTCTTCCTTACCCTCCTCCGCTCCTGCAAACTCCAGACACCACGGGGAGAGCGGGAACTTGCACGCACCTGGGAGCAGGCCTCACTCCCACCCTCCCTAGGGGGCCTGGGCTTAGTGGACCCAGCAGTGGACGGTCCACATGCGTTCTTGACCAGCGTGGCCCAGGCACAGGCTCCTGCTCTCCCTCCCTCGGACCCCACCGGCCCCTTGGCGACCGCCGCATGTGCTCTCGCACCCCCTACACCAGCCCCACCCCACTTCACACCTGGCTGGCGGAATGTGAGGCAGCACTCCCGGCCCCGGCCCTGGAGCTCCTGCGAGCCGAGCGCCTGGAGCCCTCAGACGAGCCCCTCCAGCACCGACTCGCCCTGGAAGTCCACGCGGCACGGTTTGCTGCTCAGCTGGCGGCCACCCGGGAGATGGAACTCAACCCCAAGAGCGGCCACACACAACGGCTCCTCTCCCTCACCGGTTATGGCGCAGGAGACTGGCTCCTCGCTATCCCACTCTTCCCCTCCCTCCGCCTCGCCCCCCGCACTTCGCCATAGCCCTGGCATTCCGCCTGGGCCTCCCCTTCCCCGCACCCAAGGTGTGCAACTGCACCAAGCGGGTACAGATCCTGGACCCACGACTCCCGAACCACCTGTTCCGCTGTGGGACCGGACACGGCCGCACCGACACCCATAACGCACTCAGGGACGAGTGCATCCGCATGGCACGGGACGCCCAATTCATCGTCACCAAAGAGACGGCGATCTACAACCCGGTCGACGGCAAAACCGCCGACCTTGCCATCCGGGATCGGGACTCGGGGGCGGTGTGGATCTGCGATGTCACCGTCACCGACCCGGTCAGCTCACGAGACCCGCTAGCCCGTAAAGGCCGCGGCTACATGGCCAGAGAGCAGGCCGACAAAAAGATCGACGACTACCGCAGCCGGGCGGAGTACGTCGGCTTTTTCCCGCTGGCGGTAGAGACATACGGCTGCCCCTGCGCA